TATATAAAATTAAATCGTGATTTGAGAACTATGGAGATTCTATAGTCTCCACAAAACGTTTACTGATAACATGTTCTATTTTCATAGGACTCATTAATACTAAAAATTTCATTAACATCCAAACTTCTTTGCTAATTACAAAAATACTTTGGGAATGACAACCACAAAACAAAAGAAAAATCTTATTTGTCTAGTTGTTTTACAACATCAGTTTGATATTGCAGTTTGAAAGCTGATTATACATATAAATCTAAGTATGTGTTATATCCCGATTAGAATAGAGAATGGTAACTGTTGGAATCTAGTTCTGGATTAATACTATACATATATTTTTATCGTATAATTGTGAAAATGACTAAACTTTTCATATTCGCATTCGTTTATCATAAGCTTTATTTTGACCTATGAACTATTACTATACCATTTACCATTCTGGAGTTATGGCCAGTCTATCAGTTACTACCTCGAAATTTTCACAGCCATATTTGACTAAATCTTGTACAAATGTTATTTTCTATTTTATGGTACTATGTGGTCTATTCGGTTGGTATGTTTGAAGTATGCGATTTATATCGCAGAGTTTGGGATTGATGTTCTGGACTTGTCAGGCAGGGCTAAGCAAGAAGCACGATCGCTAAGGTCTCTAGACTGTTCATACGGGTTTTACGCGTCATTGGTCCGGTCGATAAATCACGGTTCTCTTAATTGGCAATATCATTACATTATATATATTGGTAGGGGTGAAAACCCACAAGTTATAACAATATGACAGAAAAATGTCTCAATCCATTTCATGTTCACATGTCCATGCATGATCAACTAACTTAATGCTTTTAATTTTGCTTCTCACACCAACGTTAATATCAGACACAGGCTATTTCGTGTAAAATAAGTGTACAACAGAAGGAAAAGACGTTTGTTCTATTTCAATTAACTTTCTCTCTTACAATCATTAAATAGATCCAGTATGTTATATGAATTTGTTTCTAAAGCTTAATATTCAATTTCATCAATCATGAGAATTATTTCTGATTGTAAAATAATATTTGATAGTCTTGAGATGGTAGAGAAGATTTGTAGCTCAGGTGGATGATTTTGGTGGAGTTTTGTTCTCTGAGATAAATGGTTTGGTCATAGAGCTTTCATCGTTCTTCTGAACGACATCATCAGCACTTTGTTCAAGAGGGCGAGGACACATTGCAGCACACTAGCAGCACGAAAAAATGAAGATAAATACCTGAAGGACATATTTCAAAAGAAAGGCTACCCAATCAACTTCATCAAAAAATACCAACCGCACGCGTCATCCGAACCCAGGTCAAGCAGAAAAATCAATAAAAGGATCACCCTACCATATATACAAGGAATATCAGAAACCGCGACGAGACTGCTGAAAACCTTCGGGATAGATGTGGCACACAAACCGACAAAATCACTACAATCAATTCTATGCAAACCAAAGGATGAAACAACAAAGGAAGACAAATCAAACATCATCTACAAAACAAATTGTACCAACTGCGAAAAACACTACATCGGACAAAGCGGACGCCCCTTCACCTTCGCCTACACGAACATCAATTAGCAGTCAAACGCCATGATATCTCCTCTCTCATATCAATACACGTGGACAACTGAAGACACTCATTCGATTGTAAAAATGTGGAAATCTTAGACAGGAAATTCCAAAAACACCAGAGAATTTTTAGAAGCCTGGCACTCAAGTCAATCAGCAATCAACAAGCATATTGAAATCAATCCAATTTACCAACCAATCAGGAAAATCATGCACAAATATAGGAACACAAACCAAACCAATGGGAGACACAACCAAAACAAAGGAGGAAACAATGACAAATTTAAGGTCAATAAGAACCAATCAACATCGAGGTGCACAGAACAAGCTGTGAAACACATATGGAGAAATTCGAACACTTCACTTCTATCTGAGGTTTGTGCTGATGATGTTGTTCAGAAGAACGATGAAAGCTCCACAAGCAAACCGTCCAGCTCAGAGAACAAAACTCCATCAAAATATTTGTTGGTCTATTCTACAACTATAATGTTAAAAATAATCTGATGATCCATTATTGTGCAAGCTGAATAGAATTATTGTCACCAAGTGTTATTTAATGCATTAAATATTATCATTTGATGATTTTATTTGATTCATGAGTTTGAATTTACTTTTACTCCATACTTATTTCATGTATTATTTATGTTCAAACGTTTATATCTCATCTATGTAACATATATTGGTCATAATGGAATAAATTTAAAGCAATGTTGAACTCACTAAACTATGTTTGATGGAGTTATGTTCTCTGAGCTGTATCGTTTGGTCGTGAAGCTTTCATCATTCTTCTGGACGATATCATCAATACAAAATTCAGACAGTGGTGAAGTGTACTAATGATATCGTTCAAAAGAGTGATGAAAGCTCCATGACCAAATCATCCAGCTCAGAGAACAAAACTCTATCAAAATCATCCGCATGAGCTACAAATTTTCTCCAATATCTCACTGAACTGTTTTACTTAAAGTTATTGTTTGTATTTTCATTATATAATTATTATACAATTAAACTAGTGTGGTTTTGTATCCTCCTGATTTTAAGCTTTTCTGTGATGCATAAACTGTAATTATATCATGCACCTTTCTTAAGTTATTGTTAATTTACTACCAACATTACTTCTCTTACACTAACGGTGATGGTCTACCAATTGCGTCATTTTTTTAAGTATGTTAATGTGTGGTCAGCATTTTACTCTGTTTTCTTGTTGCTATAACTGTGACGTGGGGGGGACAGACTCGCAAACACGTAGAACGGCTTAGGGTTCTGATTTTTCCCGCTTCCCTGTCTAGCCCAGCCAGTTAAGTCCAGAACACAAGTCTCAGCCTCGGAGATATGAATCGCTATATTTCAAACACACTCTGTTTATATACTAATCAAGCAGACCACATCGTACCATAAAATAGAAAATAACATTGTACAATATTGACCAGTAGGAAAATGACACGTGAAATAAGCACTGACCAATAAGAGAATAACACCATCTCCAAGTCCAAGAATAGCATTAGACTTAATAGAGTAATTTTTGGGATATTTTTCTGAATATCCCAACACTTGTACGAATGATTCATAAATTTGAATTGTACTTTTTTAAAATTTTATATATGCCGGTAAATTTGAAAGATCTAGCTTCCGAATCACCGGTACTTTTTTCATTATCCTCGTGCTATCGGTTGGCTAGATGCCGTTGTTACTAGATAGACAATCTAGGAGAATTAATCAGTATTCGGACTAGACCAATACAGCTACTCTCCTGTATTATAATCTAATTAAATGAAACTCAATAAAATTCAGCAAAAAAAATTATTTTTTCCAACATACCAACATGATTATCAACTGATTGGCTTTTATTGTTGTTTGACTTAAATTCATATTACCGAAGCTTCTTTTAGCTAACAACCGATTTCGCACATCTTTATGGCAGTAACATTAAGAAGTATGAGGCGAGATTATAATTTATGGACGAACCAATCAAATTTATGATAACAAGTCATGAATTTTACCGCTAAATTAATTCATTTATTTGGCTAAATAAAGTTTTGACGTTATAGCTGATGTCAGTTCGTGATGAAAACCCTGTATCGTATTCCTAACCCTAACTACCAACTGTAAATATCAATCCTAATTCCTCACACTGGTTTATAACACTTATTTAGCCGTAGTATGTAGGTGAACATTTTCAAGGTCTCTTTATCGTCACTCAAAGGTCATCCATGAATTATAGTCTTACCAGAAATGCTTGTTTGGAAAAAGACCTTATCATACCATTAGCAATAAAGAATCGTTATTTTCTTGAATAGTAATATAAAGAGTTATTGAACACACTTTGTTTTCACTTGATATTCAATAAATTTTATTCGAATATAGTTCAATATTCAATACAAGGATATGATACATAAATACTTACTTATAGCAACTCCCCTACAATCAATTTCGATTAACGTTATTCGAATAGTAACAAATTGTCTATTTCTTTGTACTAGTATGATCACTAACTTGTCAGTATAAATGTGTACGCTTGATCGCATGACAGACTCTAGCTAGAATGTTGATAACTTAAATATCATTCGATGAATCATTATCCTCCCCATGTATATATGTGCTCAAATACTATTATAAACTTTTGCTTTGCCTTGCTGCGCCCTTATGCAATTTGACTATAAATTTACCTATGTATTCTTTAACACTTCCTCATTCACCTCTCTGCTTAAAACACGCTTGACGTCCTTATAGCTTTATGATCTGTGCTATCCGATAATAAAGTGTAGTCGCTGCTTCTTATTGCCTTCTGATTTCAAACAACATCGGAGTTTATACTATAACGGTTATCAAGGTGAGTGATTAACACGAAGCTAAGCCACTACAGATTTCACTTCTTGTTAATGTAATATCCTGATGATTTATTTATATGTAACCTAATGCATCAAAACGTTTAATGACTGAATCAAGTTGTTTCTGGAAAATGACTACTTTATTTAAGATCTTATTGGTATGGTTTGAATGATCCCATTATCGATATTACGGACCGTATTATTATCAATCTCTCATGTTCCAACATGAACATCAACACATGAGATCCATGTAAATCGAGCTGACTAATCGTAAATAGAGCTAAATGCCATTGTTAGCTTCTACTGACAAAAATAAGATATCTATTCTATGAAAGTTGTTTAGGTTTTCAGTTAGGAACGAAAAAACAGAATATACACAAATTACAATAAAATCTAAGACAATTAGAGAATTGCGAAGAAAAAGTCTCATTCGGTCAATATTTGATGCCATGTGATGATTAATTGAATTAACATGAAACAAAGTCACTACATATTTATAGAACATTTCAAATTTATGAATGAATGAATAAATAAATAAATAAATAAGACATTTCCACGAACATCAATTCATTGGTAACTATATTGATTTAATTATCTTAACATCTTGGATCAAATGGTGATTGACATGAATTCATTTGTTGATTACGTGAAAACCAAATTAATTGATTTTTTAATGTTTCAATTAAATCTTCACCAGAATTAGTTAATTCTGAATTACATTTACTATAAATTTCACTTGGATCTGATGTTTTAAATGATTGACTAGTTTCATTCATTTGATCAAAATCTGTATCATATTGTTGATTATTTTCCTAGAATTTAAAATTTTAAAATAGATATTATAATACATAACTGGGAGAGAACAAACTAGATTCCAATTGAAGAAATTAGGAAAAGACGATGGAAATAGATAGCATATACATTATGCAAATCATCAAACTAGATCACAAGGCAAGCGCTAACTTGGAATCATGAAGGGAAGCGGAAAAGAGGAAAGCCAAAGAACACATTACATCGAGAAATAGAAACAGATATGGAAAAGATGAATAGTGACTGGAAGGAGCTGGAAAGGATTGTCCAGGACAGGGTTTGATGGAGAATGGTGGTGAGCGGCCTATGCTCCTTTACGAGGAGTAACAGGCGTAAGTAAGTAAGCAATATTACATAAAATATATTTCCTTTTATTTGTTAACAACTTATAGTTTATTCATGTTAGTTAGTTAGCAACAACATAGAACTTCTTACGTACGTACGTACGTTAGCCATAGATGATGCAAGTTGGCAAAAGCTAGTCGAACGTTCAGTATCTGTTAAATATTTTAAATATCTCTAGTCAATGAATGTTTATCAATAAAATAGGTAATGAATTCACATTGGAAGATAACAGTAATCAATAAACTAACCGCATTTACCGGTAATGGTAGTTTAATATAATGATGGCGTGTTTACATACTTAATATACTGATTAATTGATGTCATGTGATACTCATACCACTTTACTAAGAATGTGACTATTAATCTATGTTAATATGCATTCAGACAATCTTTCTTGCTTTATCTTTTTTATATAATAAGAACTATTCATCTGTTATTTTTAGATCCATTCTTGCATTATTCCATACCAGTTTGTGTTTAGTTACCGCGATTTCCGTGTTCATTAATAAATTTACCGCCTCCCGTGGAGCTAAATATATAGGTCTAGGAGGGTTCAAGAGCACTAACTGACATAAAATGTTATAAAATTTAGCTGATAAATCAGGATATTACACCAGCTTATTCGGTGGATATAAAGACATTATCACGATCTGACAATTTAGCATTATCGATATTCAGGACTGTAACTGACCAGTCTAAGTTACCATGTGTACATCCTAAGAAGACCACATTGACATAGCCGTGTGTCATAAGTTGATGTTTGAAGAAATAGATAATGAATTTGAGTTTCAATTTTTTTCTCGAAAGTAGGATGCAGATACATCCAGATGACTTGTCTCGAGTAGAAGGAAATGGGCGCTTTGGACTCCACTACTTACCATAACCTAAATATGATGAGAAGAGCAGACTGTATGGAAACCGAAACCATTCTACATGGCAATGAAAGTCAGACACAGTGAAATACCAACGATTAGTTTTTTTTTCAAAGATAAATTTCTTCTACATACATACCATATCCGAGAACTTTTGACAAAAGTTGAATCATGTCGATCACTTTCAGATACAGATGTAAGAATAGAGACTGATTCAAATTTCTTGCTCAATATCAATAAAGAGAACTGATAAACTCTGATTACAATTTTGCTACTCTATTCTGTAGTTTCAGTAGTATTTAGTATTTAATTGTCCCCAGCTTAATGATCAACTGACATATATATATATATATATATACTGTTATCAAATAGTCTGAAGATATTCAACCATCACTGTAAGACTGATTTATTAGCAAACACTCAATAATATCTTACAAAATAAATTTTAAAAGAAATAACTCACACGTACAACACCATTACTCCTTTGTAGCTTATCAAATGTAGTATGATTTGTAGATATGTGCATATTTCCATTTAATCCATTTTTATGACGAACAGATAAACTAATACGTTCCAGATTACTTACTGTGTTAGCCAAACCAAAATTATTATGATATTGTGCTGCCGTTATACGTATTGGTGGAATTTCACCATTTAAAGCCGCTTGACGTGCAGCTCGAAGTTGATTTTGTGCAATAGTAAGAATATTCAATTTATTTCCATATCCATCTTTCAGACATTTTGGATGAAGCAAATCTTTACCATCAACTTCTAAAATTATATGACCAGGAGCTAAACTACCTTCAAAACTTGCTGGTGAATCGGGTTCAATACTTTCAATAGTCACTACATCAAAGGCCATATTTGAGTGTTTCATCTCTATTGGTTTAAAAGTACCATTATTGCGAGATCCAATATGTGGTTTTGGACCTTTTAGACTATTCATAGAGTTCATCGTCTCAACACTTCCATCTGAGCTTTTTATGTCAAATATTTGATTATTTTGCAACTTTTGTAGAGTATCAGCCCTTTGTACATCGTCCAATGGAAATTTAGTTAAACATAGACGTAAACCAAGTTGATCACTTAGACTTGGGAGATTTGGATCTAATATAACTCGGTATATATCACAATGATGTAATACATCGAATAATGAAGGATAAGACTCAACAGTTCCTATATCTGAAGATGAAGCATTTGTTTTTTTACAACCATGTACAAGTATACTTGCTCTATCATGTTTCTTTGAATGCGATGATTTTTTCTTATGCTTTAAATGTGTTGAGTTGTTTAAAGTTGCCTTTTTTCCATTTTCTACACTGGTAAGTTCCAAAGAGGACTGACTATTAACACGATTACCTATAGCTTCAAAATTATAGGTGAATAATTTGTGTACTTGTGAAGCTGGGTGCTGCTGAAACAAAGTTGACGATTTATTATTATTATTACTAATAATATTATTGTTACTATCATTACTATGATTATTATGCACGGATGTATTCGGTGAAAAGTCTAAATGAGTTTCATACTGTTTAAATTCATTTGATTGTATTGGCAATTCAGTAGCTAATGTAAGCATATTTTCTTTGGATACCATTGAAACACTCACATCTGAATCGTGAAAAGGTGTTGGAACACTTAAATGAGATGTTGAACTATAACTTTCATTTTGTAAATTATTCTGACCATTCGACATGATTTGATGTCTATAAAGGCTAAAATCTTCACAACTTTGACTTGTAGTAATTGTTTCTGGAATAAAACAAGAACAAATAAGATAAATAATCAATCGTGTATTTAACAATTGAACTCATTATGTAATAAATGATGACATTCTTTTGTAATAAGACTATATTATGTGAAATTACATTTTAAGTATCATAGCATTACATGACAAACTTTAAAATATAGTAAGGACAGCATCAAGGAAACGTACTTCAACCAATTTATTAAACCCTCTACCCCGTTGTTGATCTTCTCACTTATAGATGAATCCATTGTTTCTAACACTTCAAATACTATATAGTTTTCCACTGAGCTATTGAGTTATAATATCCAAATGATTTGTTCAACATGTATGATGCTTTTTATGATTTCTAATGTTTTCTGTTTGAAATTCTATGACATTTATATCACTGAAGATTCTGTGATAAATCTAATCTCAAAGGTTATTTGTTTTAAGTTTTTCCTTTGGTCCCTCATGATCTCCTCGTATTTTTTTAATTCATGTCGAAGGAATTTTTCTGTCTGACTTATTACATAATTAGGCCACATGTTTTCGGCATTACACAATATCTACATCTAAGGTTTGTTAATTCTTTTATATTGCTTATTGTTTTTCATTGTTTTTTCGTTATTCTTAATAAAGGTTTAGCTGTGTTTCAAAGAGCGTTAAAGACATTCAATAAATATGTATGGCGAATATTTAGTGGGGCCCGTAATTTTGTCGTCGTTTAGATCGGACGATGTTGTCGAAAGGGCTCTTCAATTTAGTGGCCCGAGACCTGACTCCAAGATGATCATGATGAATGTTTGTTATCGCCTATACTCGTATATAATCATCGACTTAAATTGCGTTAGTCAACAATGGAATTAAATAAGTCAAATAACGAGAATGGACTTGTGAATACATATATTTTGTATATAAAGCGAATGGAATGGAGAGAAGAGAAACGACACAGAGTGGAGATGACTGGTAAGCCAACTTCCCCTTTAACCAAGCGTTAATCAATATTTATACTTACACAAAAGTAAGTTACAGATATGTGATGAGTAATGGGATAAGAAATGTACACACACCTACGCACTCATATAAAAACAGTCAAGATTGATAAGCGAATAAATAACAAGGTCAGAATGTGACTCAAGTAGAATGAATGAAATGGTCTGTCCGAAAGCTAGAATAAAGGTATATGAGCTTAACATAATAATCGACACTACAAATATTCCAATATCATTTTAAGTATGATTATGGATAGACATTTAAAATTTCGCAAACTTTTGTCAAGTATTATTTTATAAGATACTAATCATCCACTTCATTCTCATCTTTCTCTTTATATATCATCGTCTGGTAGAACAGGGTGCCTATACATAAGAGTTCATATAAGCAATTAAAGGTGTAAAAGCTTTACAAATATACTATGAGACTAACAAGTTGCAAGAGCTGACTTAATCAAAAGCTTATGTTCTTAAACATATTGTTTAATAAAAATTGTATGGATTCACATCATCTGATATCCTAGATAATTGATTTGTTCGTTTAGCGTTTCTAGGTTAACAGTTATAGAGTGTTTTTTCGTTGTGTAAGAAGAGTGAGAGAAACTTGTTGAAATATTGTGTATTGAGGAATCCACATTGTACTTAATATGTAATATTAAACGAAACCATTATTATTATTAATATTATTATTATTATTCTGACGAAAATACACAGACTTTGGTTTCAAAAAAAGAATACAAACTATCTTTTAGTTAACATTTGCTTAATTAATCTGTGTTGAAATATAATACCTCATTATAGAATGACAAGAAGACGAAAACTATACATAACTGCAATATATTGTGGATCGACAAATTTGTTTACCAAAATGAACCACCCACCTTTACACTATTGTCTGGTTTCAAAGAAACTCTCAGTAGCTAACTCCCACTCCGAATGATATATATATATATATATATATATATATATTACTTACGCCTTCTACCCCCAATGGAGCATAGGCCGTCGACCGGCATACTAAAGCCCACACTGCCTTCTTTTCTAGTCCTATCCAATTTTTGTTCATTCTTCTCATGTCTGTCTCTATTTCTCAAAGTAGTATGTTCGTTGGTCTTCCTCTCCTCCTTCGACCTTGAGGATTCCACGTGAGTTTTTGCCTCGTGAAACATAGTTGTATGTTTTCGTCAATGTATTTCCTATCAACTTCTAGTGCTTCTTCCTGATTTCCTGCTCCACTGAGATCTGGTTTGTTCTCCACCACAACAAGTTGTTACTGATAGTGTCTGGTGAACGGATCCAAAGTATTTTGCGTAGAAAACTGTTAACAAACACGTGTATCTTCTGGATGATGGCTTTCATAGTTGTCCAGGTTTCCGCCCCATAGAGAAGGATTGTGTTGACATTTGTATTGAAAATCCTGACCTTTGTGTTGTTTGACAGACAGTTGTTTTGAGTTCCAGATGTTCTTCAGTTGTAAATATGGTGCTCTTGGTATGCCGATTCACATCTCCATATCTGCCTCAGATCCACCGTGTTCATCAATGATGCTGTCTAGGTATGTAAACGTTTTCACATCTTCCAAATCTTCTCCATCAAGTGTGATTCGATTGCTGAGTGTCGTGTTGTATCGGAGAATCTTGCTTTTCCCTTTGTGTATGTTGGGCCCTACTGCTACTGAGGCTGCTGCTACGCTGGTCGTTTTCTCCTGGATTTGTTTTCGCCAGATCATCTGTGAAGTCTAGAACGTCCAGCTGTATCCTAGATGTCCGCTGTATCCCACACTTCTCCCCAAATGTTGATGTCTTCATGTTCCATTCGATCACCAGTTTCATGTTGTGTTGTATCTGTATATATATGGCTAATATATCTGTTGAAATGAAACTTATTACAAGTTCAAGTAATTATATATCAGAATAAGAATAATGAATATCCATATAGAGTTTAGGGAAACTGTATAAAACTAAATAAAAATGTTTAGACTTTACTAGAAATATAAAACAAAAACACAAAACGTTTACCGAAACTTGTCATTCCTCGTAATTTAAGTGAATTGTTAGTAATATAACTATTTAAAGTTAATTTAGGCGGTATGTTCACTTGAGTATAAGAATTTTGTAATTTCATTTGATCTAAATCAGATTTCATAGGAGGAAGAAAACCATTGAGCGATTCATCCTACATATGCAAATGAAAACAAAAATTAATACAAACACAGTATTATTGTTTTATAGTTATTTATTAATAGTAAAACAAATAATAAAGTTTTTTGGAACGTTTTTTAGACTTTTAAATGAAGACGTTTTACAACAGACAGAGATTTATCAAACAAGCTACAATAAATCTTTACAAGCTTAGTCATAGAATTCTAGGAGTCCTAATAAAAAAACCTGACTAGTAGAGTTAATTCATGTCAGTTAGAGATAGGTATTTTCTTTAGTAAAATGGAAGATGGTCGAGTGATTTCGTGAATTGGTTGAAAACAGACATTTGAAAACACCGTTTGATGCCTGCTCAGTGGTCTAGAGGTTAGGCGTTCGCTCACGAGATCGAAGGTTCTGGGTTCGAGTCCCGCTAGCAGGATTGCACATGTGCACTGTTGTGAAGTTGAACAAAAAGGTTGTACAGTGCTTTCAGGCTTTCGATGGTGGTCTAACATCAATCAATTCGTGATGTCAATCAAAAACTTAAAAATCTCCACAACTCTATAGTGATAAATTTTATAGTAGTTTGTTAATGAGCAGTTGTTAGAATTGTAGTTTTTAATAATTAATAAATGATAACAATTATGTTTTTTGGCGAGACTATAATTTATGGTCGAACCAATCAGGTATAAGATAACACGTCTTGGATTTTGGTGCGAATTTCACCCACCCATTTGGCTAAATAGAGTTTTAGCATTATTGCTGATGTCATCCAACTGACGTGTCCCAAATGGGACGAAACGCGAGTCCTGGATTCCACTGCTAGCCACTATCTATCATTGCTTACATTGCTGATGTCAGCTCGTGATGAAAACTCTAAATGTAATTCTCACCCTAACCATCAACTCTAAATCTTCACACTGGTTTATAACCCTTCATTGGTCCTAGTTATTAGGTGAACACTTTGAAGGTCACTTTAGCGTCGCTCATAGGTCGTCCGTAAATCATAGTCTCACCAAAAAAATCTATGTATTATTAACTTTCTACCCAATGCTCAATATATTTGAAAGCATTAAGTCTAACTTTGGCACTGAAACCTATAAATTAATAAATGATTCAGGTCTATCTACCAAACTTGTAATAGGACAAATTAGTCTAAGCAACTTAATATCATCATACACTTATCATGATTTAACATGATTGAAAAGAATCAGAACAGAGCTTTAAACCCAGCCTATCATACTAAATGTTAATCATCTTTTGTATTTTATATAATCAAATGAAAACTTTTGTGATCCTTGCATATTGCAATCGGATCAATAGTAATCAAATGATTGAGAAAATGAACTCAATAAGATAATTTAACAATGTTAGTAATATTATTCATTAATTAATAAAAATCAAGGAGACTGCAGATTTTATAATTACATCTTCGTTCTATATTTATGGGTCTCTTAGAAATCTGGATTGAGTGGGATTTAGACATGATCCCAGGGGACTTGTAATATCACAGTGATCTAACAATCATCTCTGACTTAAATCAATGCAAACTTTAAGGAAGTACGTATTGTATCTAATTATTTCTTTATAGAAACAAGTCTGAATAAGGAAAAAATATCCAGACTTGCCATTAATCCTTCCTCTTTTACAAAGATAGTAGTAATAGTCTCTTTGAGTTCACTTGAATAATTGATTGCAAATTTTAATTTTTCTTCAACGGATTTAAATATACGGTTTAGGCATTTCATAGATCATACATTCATAAACTTCTATAATCAACTACAAGTTTAAGTGACAAATTCGTTTGACACATTTTTGTTAGATTACAGAAACTACAAGAGCTGCAAATAGATAGATCAAGGGAGAGTTATATTGAAAGCCTTAGTTTAGATTTTATAGAATGTAGTATTTTACTTGTTTCAGCCATAAATGATTTCAGTGTGACTCTACGTTTTGTTTCCTTGATTTTTCCTGGTTCCTTTACTCTAATTTTATAACCGAGGGTGTTTATAATAGCAATGGTGTTCTCTTTATCTGTTCTCGTAATGATAAATTTTCTACCTTTACACGGTTATTTCGGAGCTATTTGCTCAGATTTAGACAAAAGTCTCGAGAAAATAAAAATGTATGGCTATCGAAACACTTCTTTACCACATATTAGTACATAGATGATTAGTTTACGCGAACTAATTACTGCTAATATCTACCCACGACTTCATCAAGAACAGAACCCAAAACCTGGTTGCGTGACAACAGCTTAATCTTAGGTTCATTGAATTTACATACCATGGTTTATGCTTTTACTTCATTAAAGCTACGATATTGAGCCAACATCACATGTTTTGTTCATAGTGTCTGAAATTACTTCTACATAACACTTCTTTTCAACTGAAAATATCCTTTGGGCTCATGTAAACTCATAAATTAATTACCAATTAATACTTACATAATCACCATTAGTTTTTGTACAGAAATCGATATGTGCTTGAATATCATGTCCGTGTTTATTTTCTTCTGATCTATCTCCTCTTTGATTTTTCTTTTGTTGAATCTGTGGCTTCTTTTCACTGGTCTGTGTTGAATTTATGTCACTTGGTGGTCTTCGATTGATACAGTGGTCATGTTTGGTTTATCTGAGCATTTTTGCTTTGAATATGAATCATACAGAATAGGTAATGGAATAGAGTGCTTCCAGTCAACCCCATTGTCAGGAGGCACATCATATTCGGTGATTGTATTGCTACAACCATTATCATACGTTGTACCTACATTTGCCGAATCTGTTACTTTCTCATGACTTGTCGTCTTATCATCCCAATCAGCTGGAGTGAACGTTTGTACAGAATCACTGGATTGAGCTCTGTCAATAAATACTTTAGGTTTATACCCATTAGTTTGTGCTGTGCTTGTAGTGTCTTCCAGAGAACATTCATTTTCTTTTGTCCATATACCAGAAGTGTTTGTATTTTCTTGAAATCTAACTGCACTTTGTCTACTTTCACATATACGGTTTGCATCGAAAGCTAAAATAGGTGATGCACTCCTTTCTGGTTTACAAATTTTATTAGCTTCTGTAACCGATGGATTTTGATGATGTGGTTCATTTGATTGTTTTTCATAAAAACATGGATGATAAAAATTATACTGCTTATGTTGTATTCCATTATAATATCTTCCTCGAGAATTTGTTGATTTCGGTGGTAAGGGTGGAGTAGTTGAAGTGACTTTCATAATATGATGTGTTTCAGATGGTGCTAATGACCATTCTGAAGCAATATGATCATTATTTGACGTAGAACGAATAGTATATGGTCTATTGTACAACGGTAACGTTTGATTATTATATCCTAAATGATCAAAACCATTATTATTATTTGATGGACTGAAAATTTCAAATTTATCTTCACTGTCTAAATCATTCATATATCTAAATGATAATGGCTTTCCTGAATTTGGTCGGGAACGTTTATCGTCTATAAATTCATTACCATTTACTTGATTTTTCTGACATTCAGATTCAATGAATTCAGTTTTATCAAATGATGGAAGTGTTTCACAAGAAATATTTTCAAGTATTCGACTTCTCGATAATCCTTTGAAAATACACGGAAAAGGATTTAAGCGTTGTGTAAGTGTCTGTTTCACTGGTGATGGTGTACGTGAACTCTTACAATTAGGATGAATAAACAAATAGAAAAAAATTAAATATTCATTTACATTATAAATTTTAAAGAGAATAATATTCATAGATAAATAAGACAGTTGTAATGAATTGAAGTTATATTACTTGAATACTCATTTTACAATTTTTTTTTAAGATTTCTACTGTACGGAGCTGAAACTTGGAGAACTACAACAACTATCATCAAGATGGTGCAAGTATTTATAAATAGTTGTCTACGAAAGATACTCGAAATCCACTGGCCGGATACCATCAGCAACAGCCTACTGTGTGAGAGAACAAATCAGCTTTCAGATGAAGAGGAAATTAAGAAAAGACTATGGAAGTGGATAGGATTAACATTATGGGAATCACCAAACTGCATCACGATGCCAGCCCTAACTTGGAATGGTGAAGGGAAGCGGAAAAGAGGAAGGCCAAAGAACACATTACATCGAGAAATAGAAACAGATATGAGAAGGATGAATAACAACTGGGAAGAGCCGGAAAGGATTGCACAGGACAGGGTTTGATGGGGAACGCTGGTGGGCGGCCTATGCTCCTCCATGAGGATTAACAAGAGTAATTAAATTTTTAGGATAAGTAAAATTTACTGAAAAATCAATGGTAACTAGATAACATTAATGAGCTGTTTCGTTCTAAACAGCTTCTTTTCTTTTGTTTACAAGAAAACGATCATGAAGGGGATTAAGGTTACAAAGTATAAAATTTTACATTCAGTGTACTTTTTCATATCACTAAGTTGGGATTCAGTTGCGTACATTCTTAACTACAGTCAATATGTGACATATCATGATCGCTATCCAATGTCATCTGTTAGTTTTGTTTTCTTTGTTTAAACTTTGGAGAATTCATAGCTTTTTTTCTTCCATTGAGATTGCGTGTCTAAATCGACACTAGTTATTTAAACTGAAAGTGAATAATCAAAGATAACTTCAATGATATATATATATCTATATCAAACACGTTTGAAGATTTGACGATCCTGAAAGTGGTTGTATGCACGGTGATGAGTGAGGACTGATGAATCACCTATTCATTGTCTTCAATTTTCAATAGTTCTCTAAACGACTTCAATAAATAGCAATTACTCATTGTTGCAACTATAACTGTTGTTATTCAAAGTAGTATGGCACGTTTTAAAGTCTTGATTATTTTGTAAAACAATATAAAAAGTGTTCTGAAAATGATGGTTTCAATGTATATTCTACATGAGAGACTATTCAGGTAGGGAATAATTCCTACTCTTTGGGAGAACATACCTTACAGTATCATGGATAAAAGAAAACAAACATCTATTCAAAGCTTCCACAATCATTTTCTGGCTTTCTGGAACTAAGCTTTATATTTCGAGTATAATGACAAGTAGACTTGTTCTATGCCAAACAGTTTTATCTTTAATTCATATTACTAATGAGTACTAAAGTAATTTATTTTGAAAAATATGGTGCATTTTGGTAATTAAAATTTAAATGGTTGAAATCATGAGTCATTTTAAGCTAGACAACCATGAAAAACCTGGAAGCACTGGACGGAGGTTTCGTCCGAATACGGGACTCATCAGCAGTGCGCATCCACGGTCCCGCCTCGCGAGATTCAAACCCAGGACCTATCAGTCCTGCGCGAGCGGTTGACCGCTAGACCACTGAGACGGCACTGAGGAGGAGTCCCAAAATAGGACGAAACGGCCGTCCAGTGCTTACAGGTTTTCCATGGTTGTCTAGCTTCAACTGACTCATGATCCAACCACTTAAATTACTATAATATTCACAAAACTCCTTCTAATATTAATTAAAATTCACTCAATATGCAGTGCATCGTACGCTATGCAGAACGAAAAAAATACGGATAACTGAATTTTAGTGAATTGATGATACTTGTAAAATAGTTCTCTAGATGTAATGAAAAGAATTTAAGATGAGGTGGATCTCTTCATAAGTTTAACGACTTTGTTTATTACACCGTTGGGGTCTTTATCTAGTGACGGTTATCAAGATGAACTGTATACAAAGTTTAAGGATTATATATAATACTGAACACCACCAGTTGTTCAACGTTTCTAGTATTTTCAATGAACATTCTCGAAACCAGTTAAGGAAGTGAAAACAATGATCAAATGAATATTTCAAACGTTAACTCTTTTTTAAATAATCACTTACTTTATCACGTATTGAACGTCGAAAATATGGTTTGGTTTTATTCATCTATTGAAGAAGAAAAAAAAACAAATGAAAGAGAAATTTCTATATCTGAGCATTAATATTCATAGTTAATAAAATCAATAATGAAATGTTATTGATTATAAGATTACTATAAAGTTGTTATATGATGCGACCGTAAAGGACTATCAGATGGAGATATACTCCATATAGAAAATATAGGTCGAAAATTAATCAATCCGCTTGATTTTATACATTTTATTACCACTAAATAACAGTCCTGTTTTGAACATAACACATTATATTCACTGATTTACTGTATGAAATAAATTTATAAATGTTCACTGCTTACTGTCCAGTGATCAGTTAATGTAAAGATCTCAATTTTATAAATGATCATTTACTGACCCAGTAGTCACGTGATAACGTCTCATCCAGTAAAACTGGGTGAATACTAGCTCGAATTCTAGTGAGAGCCATTTTACTCATGGATCATAGTAAGAACTGTTGACGACTGCTATCATGCAACCTAGGCCCGGAGATTTTTAATGATTATCCGCATGATTCTTAAATAAATATATTTACTAACACGGAAACTAAGTAGCCTCACTTTAAAGGTAATCGACCGACTAAAAACAATATTGTTTGTGCTTCTTAGTAAGATAGGATTCACAGATGAATATACTATGAACTTTGCTTCATTAAATCCGCTTGAAACTTTTCTGTGGTTACTACTAATTTCAAACCTAGGTAAACGAGTAGTGTTCAGCATGGGGTCATCAAGAATATTCAGTAAACAAAATCTTGTTTAAAGAAAGCAAACAATAGAACATCATTTGAACTTTTTAAAACTCTGCCTCAGGAGTTGAGTGCTCTTCATATATCAAAGTCATAACTCAGTAAAAGCCAAGGTTCTTCACGATGCTGATCCCATTTCTGACAACCAGTGTAAAAATAAAATCAATATAGTTTTTCTATTTGTGAACTACATCTTCTAATTATTACATTTGAGAATATGAGACTGAATACTGCTACAGCAAATTACTTAGCGAAAACCAGATTAATTAACCTGGCTTAAATGTCTTATTGAAAACTAGAACTTGGAACTAATCTTTGGTAAATAACATTTTCACAGATTTAAACCATGATTCAGTTGAAGCTAGACCACCATGGAAAACCTGGAAGCACTGGACGGCCGTTCCGTCCTAGTATGGGACTCCTCAGCAGTGTGTATCCACGATCCCGCACCCCGCGGGATTCGAATCCAGGACCTACTTGTTTCGCGCGTGAGCACTTAACCATTAGACCACCGAGCCGGCATCATCTGCTCACTAGCGACAGACTTCAAGAGGCAATTCCTGAAGTTCTAGTGAGAAGCCGTTTCGATTGGAGTTCAACCAGGTCTATTGTGAGACATCAGTTCACTGAAGACAATGGTATACGGTGGCGCAACTTCGTGGATTGGTTGAAGTTAGACATTAACACCGTTGGATGCAGGCTTTCCATGGTGGTCTAGCTTCAACTGATTCATGATTTCAATCTGTGAAATTTCTAAAATCTCCACAAACCCCTTCTGAAAATAACTTTTTTTCATAAGGTCACAGGTATTATGAACAAGATGTATCGTTTTTGGATGACAATACAACTAAATAATTGTTTCCCTGAGAAGAGAGTTCAATGATTCCTATGTGGTGTGGGTTACTTATATCCATATAAGTAGTATATAACGGTGGTCAGGCATAGAATGTATTTCGGCAGAAGATCGATAAGGAAAGAACGGAAACGAAAAAGGCATGAACAATAAAATCTGAGACAATCGACTGATATTTGCAAAGAAACAGTGAAGTTTGAGACGATGGACTGATATTTCTCAAATTAACGATTTACTATATGGTACTCAGATTTTATTGACATGCTCTGTAATTTCCTGCCCATTGCATTCGATTGTCTCCACTCGCGTTCTGGTTCACTACATTTACACTATTTACTGACAGTTTGTATGTTGCTTACTATTACTGTTTATTAAAAATAACTTACCCAAGCTGAACGTCGTTTATTCATTAATAAAGCATCTTGTTTCTTACGTAAAACTAATACACCTAATGATTGACTATTTTGAGCAATCAATAAAGGATAATCTTTAGGACGTAGTATTCTACCTAAAACCACAATACAATAAACAGAAATTAATTCAATGTGAAACTTTCAAGTTAATATGTTACTTGAAATATTGCTGACATTAATGTATCAATTATAAACGTTTTTATATGATAATTAAAATGTTCTCATATTATGATGTATGCTACTTATGTGGAAATAAGTAGTATGCAATGACAATATGAAATGAAATGCCTGGCAAAGAATATTGGTAAGAACGAATCAAAGAGAACAGGAACAGAAAGTATCTATTATGATAATGAAGGAAAGATGTCAATTGGGACAATTGGTAGAGGAGTTGTAAAGGAAGTACTGAACGTATAGTTTTCATATTTGACTAAAGAACTCTGTAATTTTGTGTTCAAATACAATCGGTTGTCCCCCACCTGTATTCACGTTTATTATAATATAAATAATCGTATTTATTTAAAATTATGTGAGTCACCAAGGCAACTGAAAAACACTTAGTTGATTGATTAAATTTAAATTTCTAGTATAAGAAAAGGAAATTCCGATTGAAATGATAACTACTGGAAAGCCCTTAAATAATATTCTGATAGGATGAAACCTGTAATAAAGGTTTAATGAATTGTTAAAAAATCAGAAAACTGAGCTGCATTGATTGTTTTCCTAAGGTTTTTTATAGTGATCTTGTAGTATCGGTTATTATGTTAAGCTCATATACCTTATTCTAGGTTTAGAACAGCCCATTCTATTCATTCTACTTGAATCACATTCTGACCTTGTTATTTATTCGCTTATCAATCTTGACTGTTTTTATATGAGTGCGTAGGTGTGTGTACATTTCTTATCCCATTACTCATCACATGTCTGTAATTTACTTTTGTGTAAGTATAAATATTGATTAACGCTTGGTTAAAGGGGAAGTTGGCTTACCAGTCATCTCCACTCTGTGTCGTTTCTCTTCTCTTTATTCCATTCGCTTTATATACAAAATATATGTATTCACAAGTCCATTCTCGTTATTTGACTTATTTAATTCCATTGTTGACTAACGCAGTTTAAGTCGATGATTATATGCGATACAATCTTCTTGGAGTCAGATCCACGGGCCATTAAATTGAGAGCCCTTTTGACAACATTGTCCTAAGGGCCTCGACAAACTACACGTATTACGAATATATATGGAATACTTGTAAAATTCTTAGATTTTTTATGAAAAGAGCTATGTACGTCTCCAGGTGTTTACTGATCCATATTGATAATCACGAGGTATGTATTTACAAGCTCCGATTAAATAATATAACAGCAAATGAAATAGTACTTTAAACTACAAATCCAGACGCAATATGCTTGTACTTGACTCTTTTTTGAAAACGTTGACTTAAACTAAACATCTATGAACAAATCCCATTTCATTGGATAAATTACAGGGAAAATCAATGTATTATTATCGTTTTTTTCAATAATCATGCTCATCAAACTTGTCTTCTTGACGATTTTTTACACGTGTAAATTTAAAGTTTCCATCTACATCAGTAGATTGGAACAAACCAGATTCCAAGAAAAAGCGTTGAAAGTGGATGATACACATATTGAGGAAAGCACCGAACTGAATCACAAGGCAAGCCCTCACTTGGGATCCCAAGGCCAAAGGAGAAGAGGAAGACCAAAGAAAACATTACTTTGAGAAGTGGAGACAGACATGAAAAGAATGAACAAAAAATGGATAGACCTAGAAAATAAGGCATAGTGGGACAGAGTGGGTTAGAGAGTGTCGTTCGGCAGCCTATGCTCCATTGAATGTAACAGGCGTAAGTAAGTAAGTAACAACAGTAGATCAGTAAAAACTTAGCACTTGCGGACCAAAAATACCTATCACTGTAATTTCTGCTGTTTTCGCCCTGAACTTTGTGTTTTCGTTTTCCTTCTCTAGATCTAGATGACTCTGTTATGGCATTAAAAATGACCTGAAGTAAACTGTCCATACAACAGCAGTATATTCTTGTCTTATTATTAAGAATTAATATCTTCCAATTGCTACCTCACAATGTTGTAATATTTTTGGTAAATAAACCCCCATAACAATTTATTAGTTACATCATTCCAAACAATTTAGCCTTATACCTCTTCTCTTTACATGCAACATTGCTTTCTGTATCAACCTAATTATACTTTTAAATTGACAGGCGTATGTGATAATTTGTTTATTCATACATGAAAATATCTTTAGTGATTTCAAGTATCTTCAATACGCTCGACATTAAGTCAACTTGATTTAATCTTAAAGTAAATATTACTTTTAAAGTTTCTGTACTGTTAGATGATCTGTGAGATAAAGAAGCAATGAACTTTCTGGTATCATTGCTTACAGTGTGTCTTTAGAATGTTAAATTGGTATTGAATATTCCAAATTCATAGCGTCAGTTAGTTCTCATTATTTCTTCTAATTTACCAGTTTAACATCATTGAATATACTAATTATTCTATAAATAAACAGGTATAAATACAGAATTAAAAATAATAATAATAATAACAAATCACCTTCTTCATTTATACCCTCTTCTACAAGACAATAATCTGTGACTGGATCACTTGAACAAGTAACAGTCAATATTAAATCAATCAACTCTTCACTGCATGTTGTCTTTGCAATATGAAATTGTCGAATTGAAGCCTTGATTCATAATAAAGAAAAGGAATTACATATAGTATAAAATGATCACTAATGAAAATGGTAAATCTAAACAACAATTAATATTCCAATGATTATTGAATTCTGATTACGATTCAATTACGGATTGTTCATATTCATTTTTTTTAACAGACAATTTTCTTATCATTTCTGTGAAAAAACATTTAAGTAATCTATTCTGTAGGTCGGAATATTGTATGGTTCAACCATTAAACCACTACATTACTGATATCCAGTTCGTAGAAATATAGTACTCACACTAATGACTGTTTATTTAGTTGTTTTTGATAGATATGCATAAGTGTAAATCAAATAAAGTTTACTACATTGTCATAGATGGCTTGGTGTTATCAGCCAAAATTTTATATCTAAACTGTGTACCGTGTTGGAAATCTGTTCATTTAGTGGGCGAATATTAATATGTCGATTGTTATTTTCCATAAACATCTTGCCACAATCTCTAACTTCTCTATTAGTATTTATGTCTTTCATCTAATATTATTGAATATGCCACACAGTATAAATTCATTGGAACCAGTTAAGAGAAAATCTAGCTGCTTGAAATCAAATTCTCTTAAAAAACGAATACTCATTGAATGAAAGGTACATTGACTGAAATTGCTAAGTACCATAATCTTATTGAAGACTGAAAATGTTGCAGTTAAATTAAATTTAGTGAAAGAGATCGTTATCGAATGTGAAAATAACATTCTTAAACACTAAAAAAGCGTATTTCTTAAATCCGTCATGAAGTTGTTAACAAGCCAAACTACTCAAGTTGCAACTACTTTAATTTAAAAACCCAGAATTTACACTGAAAATAGTAAACAGATTGTCAAAAACTTCAGGAATAGTAAAGAACGACAAAATTTACACTACAATAGTAATGAAATTATTACTTTAATGCTACAGCATTGTCTTCAGTGAATTATTATCTCACAGCAGACCCGGTGGACTGCACTGGTCACAGCTTCTCACTAGAACTTCAGGAATGGTGGATGAGTCGCTGAGTTTCATGGATTAGTTAAAGTTAGACGTTGTCACCGTTGGATACCGGCTGGCTCAGTGATCTAGAGGTTAAGTGTTTGCGTGCGGGATTGTGTACATTCGCTGTTGAGGAGTCCCACAATAGGACGAAACAGCCGTCCAGGGCGTCCAGGTTTTCCATGATCGTCTAGCTCCAACTGACTCATTATCTCAACTATTAAAAGTCTGTTTAATTCTATACTTATTACGACAGAATAAGTGCTTTGAAAATCCCTCTAATGTGTCTGTTTTGACAGTATTGCTATTTTTCCATGGGTTATTCTCTCTTTCTGTATACGTTAAGTTTTCTCCAAGAATCGCCTAGCTGTATTTTATATTTCACAATCTTTTTCATTAATAAACCTTTACTGTTTGACTTTCGTTAAGATTTGCGTTTATGTGGTGTTTGAATGAACTACTGATTCCTTTATACTTGTTGAATGCTTCATTTCGAATTCCAAATACAGTACATTCGTTCGTGCTTATCTAGTACTTCTTGATCTAATTGTGTTATTTCTAGAATTCTTAGTTTATACGATGGTTCAAATACTCCTAATTATCACAGTTTGATATTCCATTTTTCTATAGCTGAATTGTTGACAATAAGGGTTGTTTGACTAAACTCAAATTTCCATTGTGAAGCAACTGTTTATTGCTATCTGGCTGTTTGCTGAATATATCGTTGCCTGATTCGATTCTTGCAGAAGAATCACCGACCTAATTTTGTTGGAAATATACTTGTTGATTCACAAACGCGTAGTAGTTGTTTTCTGTAATGATATTTCTCTGCATAATACGTCATTTTACACCAGAGAAACTTTTGGATTGCATAGCGACCAAGTGACATAAATGAAATATTTGGTTATTTGATATAATCTATTATTACTGAGCAGTATCACAAACATGCATGCACAATATTGTATTGTACCATGATCGTTAACTATGAGGAATACAAATTAGCTTCATACTCTATACAGAAAAAAACTCAGTTTATTTGGTTTGGAACATTTTCTAAGTTCCAACTTAAATCTAAATTTTGGTTGTTACACACATGTTACACAATGTTATGGTTATGATGTTTTCACTCAGTTATCTAAATTATTCTACTGGTCTGGCCTAATTACACTAAGATGTCAAGCCATTTAAAGTAGTAGCCATGCTTTAACTAGCTTTTTCGAAACAAGATTAGATATTAATACATAAAAGAAAAAGAAATTTAAATTTATTCCAACTTTTCAGCAATAAACAATGTGCAAATGTGTTACGGTTAGCTGTATCATCTAAGAACTTACGGGATTTGAGAAACAGCTATCATAGATTTTCAAAACTCCACCAGTTTGCATATGAAGAGTTAACCTTCATAAAATATAATAATATCATAGTATAAATATTTGTAATGATAAATGATTAGATTGTAAAATATTTATAAATAATTCCTAATACTTATAAAATTTTGTACACAAAACTTGGTGTTGTTTACTTGCAAGTTATCATTGATGTTGAGGACTGCAATTGATCAGTCTCTTGTTGGTCTGTGTGAATCTTTCGCGGACTACCTCGATATTGCCTTAAATCATAAGCTTTATAAACAAAGGTGGATGGTGTCTAGCAGTAGAATACAGGACGAGCGTTTTGTCAGCTGGATGTACCTGCATTTCAGAGTTCATGTTCACTTTGAGACTAGAACTCAATACCGTTCGTTTCAAAACCCATCACGTTCTTCACTTAGCTACTGAGTCCTGATAGCCACTTACTTGTGCAGTGGGGTGAAGATATATTCACTTGATGTTGTTTACTTTTTTTTACTTGTATATTTTGTAACTAATTGTAATCGTTAAAAATATAAATAAGATTGTAATATCCCAATGAATAGGAAATTAGTATCAGAAGGGGTTTTGTGGAGATTGTAGTAATTTCAACAGTTGAGATCATGAATTAATTAAAATTCTGATATTTAAAGTTTTCATTAAAGTTGTTTCTTCAAAGAATAAAACTTGTATTAATTCAGTTCGGCTGAGGAAGTGATTGACAATATGGGACGAAATGTTAGAAGTTTAATTTTTCTACTCCATAGGATATCACAAATAGATTATTATTTTGATGATTTGCAATCTATCCAATAAACAGTTTATTTGAAACTATCAAGTCAAACGTTAGCATTGATAATTACAAGTGTAAAAGTCATTATGTATGCTTTATTGAAAGCGTGTCTTAGGATCACCATCATTTTTGTAAAACATGAGAAGCAAGATATCCATATTAGCATATATTATATTAGATAAGTGTATAAAGACAATTTCAGAAACTTTATTTTCATTATTATCCTGTATAAGAAATGTTTTGAACGACTTGGGGAGTGATCACATATTCTATTTAGCCGAATAGTATTATATATAGTTTATTAAACAAGACAGATTGAAGTAGCACACAATAGGCATATTAGTCTTAATGGATTGTTTGGTCTGTTCGAATCTGGTTTGGCTTAGAATTGATGAAGAACAAGTTCACAGGATGATATTTAACGCTTATCTTATTATATAAAATTTTCGTCTTTAACCATTTTACCGATAGTTCTCTTGATTTGCTTGTTTAATTTTTTTAAATAGAAGTAGTCAGCAAGAACAATGTCACTTTGCAGCATTTCCTGCCATACCGAAATAAGGTCACTCTAAACAGAGCATTCAAGAGTAGAAACTCTTAAAAGTAATGGGTAATAAATGGTAAAACGATAAATATTCACATCAATAGCTATATACATCGAGGATTAGATTAAGAAAACCAAAGATCTGCCCAATGATAATTAATGAAGTCGTTTCATGACTAAAGTTGAATCGTCAGAATCTAAAATATACAGATGAATTTCAACTCGCTATAGATTCTGTAGTACAGTATCTTGATAACACCATAAGTTTACTACTGAACAATAACGAAATAGTTGTTGACCGTGATTTCAAGGCTTTATAGAAAGAAGGCGTAATAAAGATAGCATATTACAAATAACCAGCAACGAATTACATTTCTTAAAACACAAATCATCCATTACATTTTACAAATTTCAAAGATCTTGAGAAATAACATATTCCAAAGTACAAACAGATATAATCAGATATCCTCTATCTAAACCAACTATAGAAGTTGTGATGTTAATGTTTAAGTTTACAAATGTACTAATAATAAAATAGTTACTAGCAAGACTTTGTAGCGTGGTGTCGAGTCGAGGTTGACTATGAGCACCACTACAGGGAAACGCGTACCAAACAAATCAGAAGGCGAAGATAGGGCGTAACCAAGTTTATTTCGTTGGCGATCTCGTGGTATCGAACGAATACCGAGATCGTGCCAACGGGAGGACAAGTGGAATCAGCGGGCAAGAGTACGAACGTACTAGGTCACAATCCGTGGAAAAGCCATGGAGGAGTAATATGGCTGTCTTTAGCACAGTTAAACAAACGAACACAGTAAAACAATCACTGGCAAAATTGGTTATAATAATGATTGTTTCCATTAAATCAATCGCGTTCTCTTGATAAAAGTGGGTCACTACAACTTTAAAAGTCTGTTATACAGACATTGTTGTAGATAAAGTCTATGACAAACATTAATGTACCATACTGTCAAAGGTCAACTGAATAAAACAATTAATAACGATGCGAAAGTGAATGTAGTAAACAAGACTCACTTCAATAACAAATCACAAATAAGATGAACAAAATAAATCAATCCAAAACTGGTTAAATATATTGTCTCAGAAATACACTTAATCTAGACACTAATGATTGAATTCATAATAACAGTGAAAGCTTCATAAAAAAAAAGCATTTTCAGCCTAGAAAACATAAAATCATCAATGATTTGTGTTATAACTTGTGGCCTTGTTCCCTATTAATATATAATGTAATGATACCGCTAATTAAGAGAACAGTGATTTATCAACTGGACCAATGACGCGTAAAACCTGTATGAGCAGTCAAGAGTTTATATCAGTCCTATCTTCCTGCCTAGCCCTGCCTGTTAAGTTCAGAACACCAAACTCAGTATACAGGGGTTTATAAATCAACCAAACAGATCACATAGTACCATAAAATGAAAATAACATTTGTACGGGATTTAGCCAAAAGTGGCTGTGAATGTGGGAGACTGTAATTAATAGACTGGGAATAACTCAAGAACATTAAATAGTATAATAATAGCTTATAATAAGAGGAACACGAATATGAATAGTTTAGTTACTTAATGACCATACAATAAAAATATATGTATCATATTGATCCATAAATAGTTCTCAAGAGATACCATTCATAATTCTCGTCGGATATAAAAATATGTATTATATTTTACGATATTACCAAGAATAACACGAAGATTGTTACGTCTGAATCACCAAGCAAATAAGTCAATCGATTTTACTCAAATCGAAGTTTAGGATACTTAGTATACAGTTGACAGGGAAATATCATGTGAATTGAATAAATTTTAAGATTTCAACTCAATGAAACAATAACACATCAAAATCCTTGAATCAAGTAACAAAATTTGTTTGAAAATATGGTATTATTATGTCAACGAAAATGAACATTAAACTTGTTCTAACATTAAATGAGGTTGGTTACACTATGAAAAATACAGTCATTGAAAAGTTAATTTTCAGGTATCTAAAATATAATTTGCAGTAAATAGTTCAACAGCCCACTACTATTGTAGTGAACCAGAACACAAGTGGGGATGATTGAATGTATTTAAACACAAAGTACAGAATGTCTTAGTAAAATGTAAGAACCGTACAGTAAATACTTCATTTGCAAAATGTCAATCAATCGTCTCAGACTTTATTGTTCCTGCATTTCCATACCAATTGTTTTCTGTCCTCGTTCTTTCCTCCTCGATTTTCTGCTCCCAGAAATTCTATTCCTGACTGAAGTTATATACTATTTATGTCGATATTAATAGCATACACCACACTCGTCCTCCCTTTAAACCAGTCGTTCTTGCAGTGATTTTGCTCACTGTGCCACTTTCTTTGTTTCTGCAGTCTGTGCTACGAGTCTGCGGCTACACGGCACATGGGTGTTCAACATCTGCGTTCTAGCCACCTCCTGAGCCATCTACATCCAATGCCTGCCCAGCAGCCGCACTTCCCATCGCTCCTCACCGTCGGCAGCACCCGTTGTAACTAACGCCACCCCTTTAGAGCACTCCACTCGACGTCATCTCCCCGCAACAAACCGCCCCAACTAGCACCTTAGCTCTATTATCATCTGCTATTTTGTATAACATAATCTTGCCTCAAAGTTTTAAGGAGAAACATTTTCAAATCAGAAATGATTGTAACATTGTGTTATGTATCGCGAATAATTTTATCCACCTGACTGTTTACAAACATATTTACATAGTCTTTATATTGTAAACTGTTACTAACATTTGATTGGCATATTTTCGACTTACCTTAAAATCGAGCGAGTGCCAGTACTCGTTCAATTCTACGGTAGGCCAAAAATACCTAAACCAAACATCTCGATTGGAATATCCCTAGCCTAAACTTAAATAGTTAAATGCATATATAAGCAATTAACTAATTATTCGGTCACATCACTCTTAAGTTATAAACAGAAACCCAGCTAATTAAGTGTCACATATTCCTAATAGGCAAAAAAAATTACCAACGTCTTTCTAATAAAGAAAAACACAGAATTATGATTTACATTCAGTAATTAACAACTTAAAGTTTTAATTATCAAAGTCAAACCATGATCATTTACCATAAATCAATTTCTTGTATGTCTTCTACTAGTTGGTGCTTATTATCAACAACATTCATTCGATAGATTTGCATATATGAAGTAAATTTCGTTTAATTTACATTATTATGGATTGTCACAATGTAAATGTATTCATCCAATAGATACATCTTGTTTTATATCAGAAAGGGTTGGATGCCGACTCAATGATCTAGAGGTGAAGTGCTCGCAAGCAAGACCGACAGGTCCTCGGTTCGAATCTCGCAAAGCAGGATCGTAGATGCACACTTCTAAGGAGTCTCACATTAGGACGAAACGTCTGTCTAGTGTTTCCACGTTTCTCATGGTAGTCTAGATTCAAATGACTCATGATAACAAACTATTAAAATAACATTTTGTCTTATTGTGTAATTATATAAATCAAATACCTATTTTTTTACTTAGAATAATGTTAAAAATGCTAAGAATTCACTTATTTCACCGGTTTTCATTTATCATCATATTGGTATACATATTATATATTGCATAATCATATGCATAGTTACAAACTCTTTTAATTACTAATGTTTACCGCGTTTATATTTCATATCATCATTTAATTATTTAGTAAACAATCTACATTTCAATTGTTCATTATTCATTATGACAACAATTTACATGTAACTTAGATGAATCTACATTCCAAATAGATTAATGATAATGACTTTAAATGAAATATTTAATGAATCATAATGAAGCTGAGAATGATTAAGCTAAACAGGATACAATAATATTCAGACAAACAGATGAACATTAGGCGGTGATCATCAATATTAATGAGGTAAAAGATTAATCGATTTAGGAGTAAGATTTGATTTGATGTTGTCTATTTGTTCAAGCACAATATTTAAATGTTAATGCTGATACAAAATATTAAAAGTAGGTTTCAAGCTAAACAAGTTATATTTTTGTAACTTTAAGACAATGAATATCCTCATAGAGATTTCAATTCGTATCCATGAATATTACAATCAGCTTGGCTAAGCAAAGGTTTGCTGAAGAAAGTGAACAGATTGATATTGGCCCATTTAGTACAAACTGGTCATAGTGCCAGTATAAATCAATCCTTTTGAAATATATATAAGGTCAGTAATTTTCTGTCAAAACTTGTCAAACTTAAAGTCCTTCAAACGGCTGAAGCAGTAGTCATCCGGATGAAGAAACCGTAGCTCTACTTGCAAAAGAAATATATTCAACTGCTCCTCCTCCCTTGGTCAACCTCAACGCCAATTAATCAATAATGATCTTGGCTATTGAATGACCTGATTTGACTACTGTGCTTACGACCTTTCGTAGTCAATTGTAATTTTCTCTATTATTTTTGTATTATTATTGTTATTATTACTATTGTTAAACATCATTATTAATTTTCCCAATACATGATTCATTTACTTCTCATTCATACTACCTTATTATGTCTTGCTAATAGATTTTTACACAATATAGTCCTCCACTAAACATTTGATCGAATTATTATTGCACTATTGTTTCCCTAGTATGGGACTACTCAGAAGTGCGCATACACGATCCCAGCCGCGGGACTCGAACCCAGGACATATCAGCCTCGCTTCAGGCGCCTAACGAACCAAGCCATTGAGCCGGCCGGCATCCAACGGTGTTAATGTCTAACTTCAACCAATCCACGAAGTTGCACCACCGTACACCATTGTCTTCAGTGAGCTGATATCTCACAATAGACCTGGTTGAACTCCACTCGTAACGGCTTCTCACGAGAACTCTAGCAATATCTCTTGAAGTCAGTCACTAGTGAGCAGATGATTATGATCAGAAGGGGTTATGTGGGGATTTATTTACTGATGAAAATAATAATAATGATAACATGAGGGAGGGGGTGGGAACAGTTAACCAGTTTTCTTTTTTAAATAAAATTGTGAAAAATACACACACACACGCACACGCACACAAAAACTATGTTTATAATTGAAGAAAAATGTGTAGTTTTCTTTTTCTATATTGATATTTACCTGTTATCTTTGGTTAAATCTAATGTTCTGGATAAAATTGCATCACTGTATAATGTGACATCAATATCTAAAATGAAAATAGGCGGCAATATAAATAAAGCAAATGTATAATTTAGTATAGTTAATTTATGATATTTTCATATTTCTTTGAACTATAGTTTGTTTATCTTATTAGTTAATGAGTAAAGTCATGTAATCAAGCAATTTCTTATAAGTTACAATGTATTTGTAGAAAATAAATCAGTGTTATCATTTATAAAGATGTGTAACTCTGAATTTGTGGATTGGTTGGAGTAAGACATTAACACTGTTGGATGCCAGTTGGTTCAGTGGTCTAGAGGTTAAGCGCTCGCGCGCGAAACTGATAGGTCCTGAATTCGAAACTTTCGGGGCGGGATCATGGATACCCACTGCTGAAGAGTCACACAATAGGATGAAACGGCCGTCCAGTGCTTCCAGGTTTTCCATGATGATCTAGCTTCATTGACTCATGAATTCAACCATTAAATTTGAGTTCTATATATAGGTTAAAGTGATAATAGCTTTATTGATATCACTTGCGATTTCAATAATAAAAGTTTACAATCAATTAACAACTGAACAGTGATCGATGTCATGATTCATGTGTACTATTGAATAAGCGAGTGTAAAATCTTAAGTTTAAACTTACATCATTACGTAAAGATAGAATGCCAGTTAAGGATCTTCATTATTTGCGATACCTTGGAGATACGTTATGTATGCTTAACTAACACCGGAACCGGAGTTAGTGGTAGAGATGCATATACTCTTTCAATATTCATTCACAACTGATTTCTTTTCGCTTGTTCTTTCGTAATCACACTGTCTTTGATGAACTATTATGTTGACTATTATTATCTACTATGATAGCGTTATTATGATTCGGATTTATTTGATAAATATTTTGATAATTTCACTTCACTGCACTAGTGTGACATAACTGCTAGGTTTAAAAAGCTCGTTTGTACTAGGTCACTTGTCAATCATGTTTGACCGACCAATAGTATTATTTAAGATTTCGTAATCTTGGAAAAAACTTCTTCCTAGATCTTTCTAGTTGTCAACAGTTAAAACACTTTCCTTTGTATAATTTACTTCAGATAATTATTTTATTTATTGACTCTCTCTGTTTGTGTGCCTTTCGATACTATGGTGTACCTGAGAAGATTGTCAACATCATACGGAATTCAAATAATGGACTACACTGCAAAGTCCTGCTTGAAGAACAGCTGACAGGTGCATTCCTAGTAAAGGCCACTGTCGGACAAGGCTGTTCACTTCAGCTTTTTATTTTCGTTTCGGTAGTCGACGCGATCATGAAGGTATCCACTTCACAGTTAAAATTACTTAACAAAATATGAAAATAATACACTAAATACATCACTTGCAAAGCTTCATTGCGTTATTATTTACTCCATGATTCTTCTAATTCTGTTGTTATTTCCATTCGTCTCTGATTTTGTTCCTGTTCTCTGCATTTCAATCTTCAACTGGCAGGCATTTCAGTCCTACTGCTGCTACATACAATTTATATCTGTCAACAAAAGTAGCATACACACAACAGCAGTCTCTACAGCAGTGGCCCTTAACATACATAAGCGAAAATCAATTCCCGAAATACAACACATAAAGCACAAACCCAATCACACTCAATGAAGAAGCTATGGAAGAGGTGGAAACATTTGAGTCCATGGACAGCATCATCGAGGAAAACGGAAAATCGGAGTCTGGTGTGAAATCAAAGATTGAAAAAACAAGGATGGTATTCCTACAATTAAAGAACATATGGAACTCAAAACAAATGTCTACACTCCAATATCAAATTCTCAACCTTCAATACGAACATCAACACAGTTCTAATGTATACAGTTGAAACTTTAGGAATTAACACAACCATCATCAAAACAGTACAAGTATTTATAAACAACTGTCTACACAATATACTCAATATCCGTTGACCTGATCCCATCACAATCAGCCGACTGTGGGAGAGGACAAATCAACTTCCATATGGAGAGGATATGAGGCGAATATGTTGGAAGTGGATAGGACACATATTGAGGAAATCATCAAACTGCATCATGAAGCAAACACTAACATGTAATTCTGATGGGTAAAGGGAAAGAAGAAGACCGAAGCACACACTACCTTGAGAATTGTAAGCAGACATGAAAAAAAAGTGGATAGTTACTGGAAAATACTGGAAAGGAAAGTGAAGGACATATTTGGATGGAAAGTGGTGATGAGCGGTCTATACTCTCCCATGAGAGGTAACTAACTTAAGTAATTGCTATGTATTACTTCAGAAAAGAATTTTTACATGGATTTATTCTCAGTTTTATATTCATCAATAAAACATTCCACCCATAATTTATTTTAATAAAATTCTCAGTACTCAATTATTTTCTTAAAGATTTTCATTATAAAGTTTTTTTTTTAGAAAGAAAATTCATAGAAATCAGTTCATCAACATTGTCACCTTATTCGAATTGAGCACCTATCTGACTGTCTGTCTATCTATCTACTGACTGATCTATGTGTTTATCTATCTATTAAAGTAACTTGTGTGCTATTATTATTACCACTATTATTATTATTATTATTATTATTACTAGTATACCTATTTAAATAAATAATTCACACTGTTACATTGGGTGAATAGCAAAATGCCTTTTTCTTCTTGAATCTTCTCTCTTTTTCTTTTCTCTTTTTTTGCCAAAAGAATTGATTCTTCTGTCAAACAAACATAAACATAACACCTTTGTTATGTCATAATAAGGTTGATTATCATTTTTTTAAATTTATGTATTGATAGGCATTCTCTACTTGTAATTCATTTATCAATACCATTTTTATAATAAACTATTTGTGAGGAATTTAGAAAACCAATCAACCAACCAACCAACCAAACAAACAAACAAACATTTAAAACAAAAGCAAACTTGAGTAAATCTAAATTAAACACTGAAAGTATTTATGTGATTTATTGGTGTTTTTCTTTTAGAAACAAAAAACATTTTTAATTTTAACTATTTATTGATTAGAGAAATTCTTATTTCAAGAATAAATCTAATCACTGGACTTTTTGGAACAAAACGACTGTTTTTTTTTACAATGGATTGATCACTGGGTGGTGGGTGAGCAATATTATGTGTGTCCGATCTTTCTAAGTGTAAATCGAATGCTATCGATCATTAAGAAGGAATTGACACAGATGATATTGCTCACCCATAACCCAGTGATCAATCAGTTGTGAATATATCTCTGTCTTACAGGAGATCAGTTGTGGCCTTGATATCTCAGTGGTAACGTCGCTGACTGTGAAGCTAGGTGATACGAGATCGAATCCATCAGAGAGCATCAGTTCCTTTAAGATTACAGGTACACAGTGGTGACGAGTGCCAAATAGCACTAAACCTAGGTCCAGAGTTTCCTATTGATTACCACCAACCACTATATTAAAGCTGTTTTTTTTGTTAGATAGTAAATGGTTATACCACTTTAAACTTTAGTGGCCCGAAATCTAAATCCAGTTATATTGTATGAATGTTATTGAAGTATACATGTTGCCCATCCTCGTATATAATTATCGACTTAACTCATGTTAGTGTATAACACTATTTAATATGTTAAATACGAGAATGGATTCTAGAATACGTATATTTTGTACAATCATTGGTCTGAACAGACAATCAGAGGAACGAAGCGAAACGACGCGCGGTGGAGAGGTCATGTGAGTCAACTCTATTTAATCAAGCGTTAATCGATATTTATAGTCAGACAAAAATAAGTTACAGACATATGATGAATGAGATAAGAATTGTACACACATACGCTCATATAAAAATAGTCAAGGTTGATAAGCGAATAATTAACAAGATCAAAATGTAGCTTGAGAACAAGGGATAAACTGTCTTGTCCGGAAGCTAGAATAAACTGTGTGGGCTCGATATAGGACCAATCTTTATTTGAGGTTGATCTCTTTTGATCACATTTTCAAACAACTAACATGATAGTACTCTTTGTTAAACAAAAGATCTCCAAAGGAAGTCAGCAGTATCAGACATGAATGTATGTAATCTGGAATCAAATTCATAGGACTTAGCATTAGCCTTTTTTCAATTGACAAGTACTAATTGACATGAAAGTTAGCTCTATAATTTCTTATTTAGTTGCTTTAAATTATCCAACAATTATGATCCGATCAGAAGGGGATTTTGTAGAGATTACAGCAATTTAATAGTTGCGTTGATGAGTTAATTAAAGCTAGACTACTATGGAAAACCCGTTCCGATAATAACCATCGTGTGCTCACTAATGACTGGCTTCAAGTGGTATTTCCTACAGTCCTAGTGAGAAGCCCTGACTAGTGGAGTTTAACCGTGTCTGTTATGACATGGTAACTCACTGAATACAATGGTGGACGGTGACGCAGTTCCGTGGATTGGTTGAAGTTAGACATTAACATTGTTGGATGCCGGCTCAGTCGTTAAGAGCTTGCGCGAGAGACTAAAGATGATCCTGAATACGCACTGCTGAGTTGTCCCACAATTGGACGAAACAGCCGTCCAGTGTTTTCAGGTTTTCCATAGTAGTCTAGCTTCAATTGACTCATGAACTCAACTATTAATTTATGAACTTCATTCATGAATAGATATTGCTATTAAACTGTTTTATATCCTGTTCATTTTGTATAGTAATGAACCAGATTATAAATTTTTTAACTACTCTAACCTATGAACAGATATTTCCATCTATGATCAACATAACATTTATACATATGTGATATTATTAAATTTAATTATTTCTGTAAACAGAATCATAGGTAAACTATTTACATATTACCTTACAGATGTCACCGTATAGACTATAACTTTTTTAGATGACAGTGGTTGACGTATAATATCCACTGGGATCTAAGTGTATTACCCATGTAAATTTGAATGCATAAGAAAGTTTTTTCTACTCTTCTTTCTAATCTACACTTGAGTTATGAACAATTAAGTTATCAAATAATATTGAAAAGATTCTCTTTTCTGATCTAAAAGTAAAAAATTCATTAAAGATGAAGAATGTATTTGTAAAATCTCAGTGAATGAAGTTGAAGTGAACCCAACGTTTCACCTCAATAATCTGATCCTTGCGCTTTAATATCTCATATCAACTTGGCGCCTAAATACTGTGAAACTATTCAGCCAAATTTAGATGGAAGTTCGTTGAAACTATACTTTATGAACGAACTCTGAGCGACGCCAAACTGACTTTGAGAGTGATCACCTAATAATTAGGATCAAATGAGGGTTATAAACCAGTCTGAGGAATTAGAATTATGATTTACAATTGATGGTTAGGGTTAGAAATTACATTTAGAGTTTTCATCACGAACTGATATCAGCTATAATACCAAAACTCTATTTAGCCAAATGGATGGATGAATGGACTTCGCACCAAAATCCGAGACCTGTTATCATATACCTGATTGTTTCGTCCATAAATTACAATCTTGTCGAAAGTTCTTATAAAAAATTCATTGTTAAAATATTGACAAACTTTTACATTCTACTTATAAAAAATCAAGTCTATAGAATTACTAATGAAACAAAAAATCTCCTTAAGTAATGTTACATAGTAATAATAATAATAATAATAATGTGGGTAACAATGTTACAGTTTGAATGAAATTCATCAATCTACATCAGCTTCATTGACTACGAAAAAGCATTTGATAGCGTGGACAGAGCAACACTATGGAAACTTCTTCGACACTGCGGCGTGCCTCAGAAGATAGTCAATATCATACAGAGTTCATATGATGGACTACACTGCAAAATCGTGCATGGAGGACAGTTGACAAAGTCGTTCGAAGTGAAGACCGGTGTTAGGCAAGGTTGCTTACTCTCACCCTTTCTCTTTCTCCTGGTGATCGACTGAATCAAAAGACGTCAACATCTGAAGGGAAGCGCGGGATACAATGGACATCTAAGATGCAGTTGGACGATCTAGACTTCGCAGATGATCTGGCCCTTCTAACCCAAACGCAACAACAGATGCAGGAGAAGACGACCAGTATGGCAGCAGCCTCAGCAGCAGTAGGTCTCAATATACACTAAGGCAAAAGCAAGATTCTCCGATACAACACAGCATGAACCAATCAAATCACAATTGACGGAGAAGATTTGGAAGATGTAAAAGCCTTTACGTATTTGGGCAGCATCATTGATGAACACGGTGGATCTGATGCGGATGTGAAAGCTTGGATCGGCAAAGCAAGAGCAGTGTATTTACAACTGAAGAACATCTGGAACTCAAAACAACTGTCAACCAACACCAAGGTCAGAATTTTCAATACAAATGTCAAAACGGTTCTACTGTATGGGGTGGAAACCTGGAGAACTACGAAAGCCATCATCCAGAAGATACAAGTGTTTATTAGCAATTGTCTACGCAAAATACTTCGGATCCGTTGGCCAGACATTATCAGCAACAACATACTGTGGGAAAGAACAAACCAGATCCCAACGGAGGAAGAAATTAGGAAGAAGCACTAGAAGTGGATAGAACACGCATCGAGGAAAGCACCCGACTGCATTACAAGGCAAGCCCTCACATGGAATCCTCAAGGTGTAAGGAGGTGAAGGAGGAGAGTAAGACCAAAGAACACATTACTTTGAGAAATGGAGACAAACCTGAGAAGAATGAACAAGAATTGGATGAAACTAGAAAAGAAGGCCTAGGACAGAGTGGGTTGGAGAATGTTGGTCGGCGGCCTATGATCCATTAGGAGTAACAGGCGTAAGTAAGTAAGTAACAATGATAATAATCAATATATTACTTACCTTTTGAATTTTGATTTAATGGCCAAATACCTGATGTATTGAATGTGTTGACTTCCATTGCTTCATATAAATTACTATGAAATCCTTGTTGCTTAGATTTGATATGTTTATTATTATGATGATGATCGTTATTTGTTTGACGTCTATAGGTTAGATAAAATAAATTTGGATCTTTTAAGCTTAAATGATTTCTAGCCAATATTTGTTTAATAACATCTTTCACAGTATCTTTAGAAGTTATTGTATAAATTTGTGTTACTTCAGTACCTTGAGCTAAGTCTGTATAAATAAGTATCTGTTAAAAGATATTTAAGAAAGAAAAGAAAAGGAAAGAAGAAAAGGTTAACATCAATTTTGATTTATATTCAGTAATAGATTTCTATTATTCAGTAGTATATGAATTCACATTATTTATAAATGAAATTCTATGAAATGACTTTCTATTTAAAAGTACTATATGAAACATTGTGTTACAAAGTTGTTATAACTTGTGTACCCTGTATCCTATTAATGTGTCACGTAATCATACCACCAATTAGAGAACAGTGAATTATCGACCGAACCAATGACGCATAAAACAAGTACGAGCAGTCTAGAGGCCTTAGGAATCCTGCTTCCTGACTAGCCCTGCCTGCTAAATCCAGAATACTATTCTCAGCTTCTGTGATATGAATCATTTATTTCAAACGTACTAGGTTTATATACCAACCAAACAGACCACATAGTACCAATAAAATGGAAAATAACATTTGTACAGGATTTAGCCAAAAGTGGCTGTGAGTGTGGGAGATAGTAATTGATAAACTGGGAGTAACTCAAAATGGTAAATGGTATAATAATAGATCGTAGGTCAAAATATAGCTCATAATAAGAGGGACATGAATATGGATAGTTTAGTTACTTAACGATTATATGATGAAAATATATGTATAATATTGGTTCATAAATGGATCCCAAAAGTTACCATTCATTATTCTCATCGGAATATAGCAAAAGTAGAATGTTTAGTTCAGAGGTTTGTGTCCATTAATTTTTAATAGTATTGAAATCAATATCTATCCAATTCTGACAACTGCTTATAACATGTAAATTTTTAAATCAATAAAATCTCACTTGAAAGTATATTTCCACATTGAATTCTTGTTCCAATAATAAAAATTAACAGTCAAATGACTTGTGCATTATTCTTATGCATAAGCGTTCGTGCGCGAGACCGGAGGTCCTGGGTTAGAATCAAATGTGTGAGATCGTTGATGCACACTGCCGAGGAGTCCCATACTAGGACGAAACGGCCATCCAGTGCTTTCAGGTTTTTAGTGGTGGTTTAACATTCGTCGATTCATGATCTCAATCAGAAAATACATATACTGCTGGGAAAATATAATATGAACATAACAATATTCATAATTCTTATAAATACTCTTGTTAGTATGTCTGTAACTCCGATAATTTAACAGTATACAACATAGAAGACCTGAATATCAAGTTGAAAGATCTCACTTATACCCACCTACCGATTGAAAATATTAGTGCATATCTGGACTCACTAGTTTGGTGGATAATTTATTAGACACTTGAGACGACAGACATTTGTTTCGGGTATCTGTGTTAACATTCTCAAACGATTTTAAACATGCTTACTCACATACTTAGCTCTTCTAGAGTTACTGACGGCCCCAATCTCGGGTAAAGGAGGAGGGTTGAGCATAGAGTCGGCAACCCCACCCCTCAGAAAAGAACTTTATTACAAAGACACTAACCAGAATAAACAAATTAAACCATTTCAACTTTGCCCTGGGAGTTGAAGTAAATATTATGACACCTTATGATAAAAGCCGAGATTATTCAGAAGTCATATGGCCGATGCCACTTCTAACAACCACAGCAACAATTGATATAGGTATATGGAATTTCCAGACAACGTGGGAGAACGGAAAGACCAGCCAAATAGCAGCGAAAATGAGGAGATACAACTTGGTGGTTCTCAAATTCACGAAACCCATTGAACGCAAGATGGACAGAAGACATTGGATTCGGGAGAGATGGTATAGTGCTCTGGTCACAAAAAGAAAATGTTCCACACACACAACGAGTTGCACTGATGCTATCTATAGAAGCACGAAAAAACACTGATGAGATGGGAATCTCATGTATTCAGAATTATCAAATCATCCTTCAAAAGAAAGAAAGAGGGAATCACAATGAATGTCATCCAGTGTTGTGCACCCACCAATGATAGAAATGACGACGATAAAGATTAATTTTATGAGAGACTGCAATCGATCACGGCAAAGTGCTCAGGAAAGGACCTGACAATTCTGATTGGAGATCTAAATATCAAAGTCGGAATGGACAACACCGGATATGAAGATAAAATGGAACAACATGGACTGGGAGAGAGAAACGAAAATGTGGAGAGATTTGCAAATATATGTGCATTCAACAACTTGGCTGTAGAAGACACAATATCCTCATACAAACGCATAAAGAAAGCTACATGGGTCTCATCGGATCACACCACAGAGAACCAGATCGATCATATTTGCATCAGTAAAAAAATCCGAAGGACAATGGAAGACGTGAGAAAAAAGAGAAGAGATGACATAACTTCAGACCATCACCTCGTTGTGGCAAAGGTGAAACTGAAGCTAACGAGACACTGGACAGCTGGGAACACATCAGTACAATGGTTTAATACAGCCTTTCTACAAGATACTAACAAAACCATCTCAAGATAACTCCGAACAGGCTCCAAGCCTTACACGATCTACTCAAAGAAGCATTAACTTCGTGTCAGGAGGTGTTGGGGCGCAAGATGCGTCATCATAAGGAGTGGATCTCTATTGAGACCCTGGACAAGATTCAAGAAAAGAAGGACAAGAAGATAACAATCAAAAACAGTAGAACAAGCACAGAGAAATTCAAGGTGCGAACTGAGTACATTGAAGCAAACAAACAAGTGAACAAGAGCATTAGAGCTGACAAGCAGAAATACGTGGAAGACCTACAACAACGGAAAAAGCAACAACAGCATTCCTGCAATTTAAGAACATATGGAACTCAAAACAAATGTCTGCACGCCAATATCAAATTCTCAACCTTCAATACGAACATCAACACAGTTCTAATGTATACAGTTGAAACTTCAAGAATTAACACATGCATCATCAAAACAGTACAAGTATTTATAAACAATTGTCTACACAACATACTCAATATCCGTTGACCTGATCCCATCACAATCAGCCGACTGTGGGAGAGTACAAATCAACTTCCATATGGAGAGGATATGAGGCGAATATGTTGGAAGTGGATAGGACACATATTGAGGAAATCATCAAACTGCATCATGAAGCAAACACTAACATGTAATTCTGATGGATAAATGAAAAGAAGAAGACCGAAGCACATACTACATCGGGAATTGGAATTATACATGAAAAGAATGAATAGCGACTGGAAAATACTGGAAAGGAAAGTGAAGGACATATTTGGATGGAGAGTGGTGATGGGCGGCCTATACCTCTCCTTGAGGAACAATAGACGTAAGTCATACTGAAAATACTTTTTATTCCATTTTTCTGATTACCAGTATTTATAATTTAATATTGTGTTTTATTGTAATGTGAATACAGATTTAATTGACTTATGTTTAGTCACGAAGTATGTCTATATAATCACCAATTTGTTAGAAAATTGTTTTTCAGTTTATCTCTTAGTTACTACTTATGACATCAACCAATTCTATATATAACCTCATTTTTAACATGTATTATTAGTTAACAGAAAAAACCTGGACAAACATGAGATTGTTCATTACAGACTGATCAATTAATTATAAATATCTAAATGGTAACATCCCAGACTGGAAAGCTGGGTAAAACAGGATCGAATCCTCCAGGAAGTATCATTTCAGTCAAGATAACTGGTGCGCCTTGCTGATAAGTAACAAACAGCATGAAAACTACTTTCATTATTCCCTGTAAATTAAATCCAACCATCTATCAACTCATTTCATTTTATTATCTAAATTTTATTGTCCTCCCTTTATTATTTTTTATTTCTTAAGCTTATGTGACCTATTAAATTAATATCTAACATCCGTTTGAGTATTAAGTGTCATTTTTTCATGCTGAATTTCGTGTCATTTATTTAATACACAAGTTTATTCTACTTTTGTATGAGACAATATTAATTGGCTATTTTTTCCATCTATCGATAACCTTTCACCAGGATTTCGCGTCGTATATATCATAATAAGCAAACAACTAATCCGTATCAGTTCAAGCAATTAGTTGTATTTAAACATTTATATTCATCTACTATAATACTGGTTACTTGTCAGTACAGTTTAGTTTTTCCATGTGATATATTGCCTTATTAACCTATATTTTGTAGCTCATTCGGTATTTATGTTAATTATATACAGAAAAGGCGGTCATTTGAAGTATGGATATTACAGAATCCTTAATACTCAGCTTAGAAACATTAAAATTACTTTATTCCATTGGCTTTAAACATTAAATGATAGAAAGATAGATAATGTGTCTCAACAAAATTGTATTTAGACTCATTTAGATAAAGATGATGATTTAATCCTGAAGGTGAAAGGAAAAGAGGAAAACCAAAGAACACATTACGCCGGGAAATGGAGATAAACATGAGAAAAATGAACAAGAATTGGATGAAATTAAAAAAGAAGGCCCAGGACAGAGTGGGTTGGAGAATGCTGATCGTCGGCCTATCGATAGCAAGTAATCACTAACAACTCATTTTACTTTAAAACCCTTGAATAATAACTCAGCATTGAAAAGTAAACATTTTTGAATCAAATGAATAAACTAACTTCCCGCCAGGATTTTACTATAGACTACTACATGTAAAAACTACCTATCAATGCGATTGTAATGCTTTGAAAAAGATGATATCTTCAAAAAACATTTTTCCCTAAATCGTCTTTATTCTTTCACAATCATTCTTCATTTTAATCTCAGCCTAATCATATTAGAAAGGAGTATTATTTACCTTAAAACGAGAGACAATATACTCTATCACCCAATATCACATTGGAAGATATAGATTTCCTATAGAATTGAAAGATTAACTCTATTAGATTATTTAAACAAGGTTACGTTTATCTAGACCTTAGTGATGATCAATTTGTGATTTAAACACCAGTCCGATTAACATGATATTCTATCAACTAAAAAACTAGATGAACATATGACTACTTAATATGTAATGGATTAATAATTCATCTAATAGTCTTGATCGTTCTGTTATTAACACTACACA